TCCCCTCTCCACATGTTTGAACAATTACCCCCCCCCCTACTGCCCCCCCCCGTCCCCCTCTTCTCCACCCTGGTATCATAAAGGCCCTGACACCCACCATGTGAACATCTCTACCTTAAAGGGTCAGTTTTCGGGCTGAGACTCTACGGCGGCCTGTGAGTGTCATAAAACCATCCACTAATTCCTACTCACTCACATCATATTATACATCGACACCCAAGCGGTGGGTCGGGACCCCTACCAGAGCCATGGGACCCTCCTCGTGTGAGAGTGTGTTTTACTAAACATAGTGACTGAGAGAGAGAGGTGACGGACTGGTTTGTGATTGACCTGAAGGCTGAGCATGGGGGGGGGGCGGAGCTAAGACTGCTGCAGCTCTCACATGAACACAAAAACATTCTCTTCATTACTGCTGGGCTGTAGTGTGTGTGTGTGTGTGTGTGAGTGTGTGTGTGTGTGGTCACCTGTAGAAGCCCAGGTGCCACTTCCCCACCATGTGAGTGCTGTATCCAGCCTGTCTGAGGCGCTCAGGCAGTGTGTCCATGTGTGGGGGCAGACAGTTGGGTTGACTGGGTCTGATGATGGAGTGCTGCAGTCCAGTGTGGATCTGGTATCTAAAGCAGGGACAGTCACAGTCACACACCACATTCATCACCACCGCTCTGGTCCAGACTCAGGTCTGTACCTGCCCGTGAGCAGCTGACTGCGGGATGGGGTACAGATGGGCTGGACGTAGTAGTTCTCCAGGGTCACGCCCTCTGCTGCCAGTTTGTCCAGGGTGGGGGTCTTGATGCTGGGGTTGTGGTAGCCAATGTCATTGAAGCCCTGTTTGGAACAGACACTCGTGTTAGTGTGAAACTTCATGAGCGTTAAACGTTAGCTGGTGTCTGTACCAGGAGTGTCGTAGCTAACGTTAGCTCTGGTGTCTGTACCAGGACTGTTGTAGCTAACGTTAGCTCTGGTGTCTGTACCAGGACTGTTGTAGCTAACGTTAGCTCTTTTTTTACCTACAAGTCAAGTCTAATTAAATATGATTTTTTTTTTTTATCGAACCAGTCCTGATAAAGAACTTGGTTTTAGAAGTACTGTAAGAAAAGAGTGAAAAGCTCCAACAGTGGCATTTTCTACAGAAAAGGTCAAAGGTCACCTGCCTGTTTTTAGGATTACTGCCCTTAGTGATTTTGTA